TTGGCAGAAGCTCTCTTCTCCCCGCTCCCAAACACCCAGCACCCTCGTTTATCTGGTTTCCGTCTGCCGACTGCTATGACATGGCAATAATTAGTCATGCTAGGTTGTCACGGATAATTTTGACAGGCCCCTTCAGGAAGATCGCAGAACCCCTGTGCACGTTCGGATCCGAGCCACTGGCGGCCGCACTCCTCGCTGCGCCCAGTGCGGAGCTCGGTGCATCACTGTCAGCCTGGCGGCGCCTCCCTCCCAGCAGCACCCCTAAATTGGTCACAGCTGAGAGAAGGGCACTCACAGCATGGCCAGCAGGGGCCACTCCCGCTGAGGGGAGGCGTGGGGGGAGCTCACTGTGGGGAAGGGGCTGAGGGAGTGAGTGGGGGGGTGGTGCAGAGGCGGTTGAATGCATCAGAGGGGATTGCAGGGCTGCTGGATGAGGTCCTGGAAACTGGCTAACATGACCAAGGGGAGGAGAGAAAACTCAGATTCGGATGCAGGCAAAGTCCAAGAGACCTGGAGGAGTTAATGGGAAAATAATTCTCCTTATCTGCTTCCTGCCAATCTGTATCCACTGACAGAGCAGAAGTAATTATAGATACTGGACACATGCGGCATTCAGTAAAGTGTTTCAAATTACACTGCTTAACGACGCTTCCTGGCGCGGCCCTGCTCGGCCCAGTGCGTGGGGCCAGCGGGTAACGCCACAGGGCACGGCGGGTCGCTGGCAGACGTCCCTCACTCGGCGCATGTGACTTCCCAAGCACACTTGCTCCGGCGAGAAGAAGAAGAAGATAAAAAGACAACACTAATTTGGTTTCTGTTGAATATTTAGAATGTCATTCACATGGTTGTCTTAGCAGAGTCAGCTGACATACTTGAAGGATTTTCCTTGTTTGCCTTGTAGGAGCCAAAAGCGGGGTCAGCACTGAAGATTAGAATCAATTCAGCGGAAGGAAAATAAACCTGTGGAACAGATTCTGCCTCCCCGGAGCACGTAGCAGGCATTAGCAGTAATGGGAGCACTGTCTGTGCATGGAGAGGAAGCATCTATGGCTCAGACTCCCACACATCCTCCCCCGGGGTCCTGTGGTCCCGTGACCTTCACAGTGGGTGGGAAGATTCTAGATTCATCATCTCCTAACTTTATGCTGCTATGCGCAGGACCACACACACACACACACACACACACGGAGTGTTCCTTCCTGTGGAGGAAAGGGACAGGAGAAAAAGGAGATGGGAGCTGCTGAAATGTGGTCCACATGGGTGAGGTGACCGAGCCTTGCTGGGCACGGACGTGAACGGACTCTGTTTGCCCTTCATGGTGGCTGTACCACCTTTGCCAGGCTGACGTTGCCCAGGTTGCTGGGCTTCTCCCACTTCGGGGAGCGCTACAGAAAATAAAAGAGGGCCAGGACCCTTCCAGGGCTCCTTCAGTCCGCTCTGTGTGTCTGCCAGGACTTCTCCAACAAGTACAGGGGCAGCAGGAGCACAGGGAGCCAGACGGTTGGAAGAGCGCTGGGTTTGGTACATGGGATGGCCCCTCGCTGTCTCTATGCGTATGTGGGCTTTATGCATTTCATTTCTTAATGTTAAGACGAGGATGAGTAAAGTATGGTATAGAGATTATAAAACACACGCTACCCCTTGTCTCAGTAAAATAAGTCACCTCGGAGATGGCACCTACATTTGCTGCTGTTTGCTCTCTAACGGAATCCCAGATAACAGCTAATTTTTACTTAGAGCATTGGTGAAGCCATTTATACTTTTCACCTATCCTTGCTAGAGGCCTCGCTGGTTGGATAGGCAGGAGCTGGCCGGGGTCCTGGCCCAGCTCAGCCACTCTCTACCGTGTTTCCCCGAAAATAAGACATCCTCCGAAAATAAGACCTACTTACAGGTTTCCTTCTGAGTGAAATATAAGGCATCCCCCGAAAATAAGTCCCCCCCCCAGGCTAAACATGAGAGATTTGGTCCACTGATTCTGAAAGAAATGGAGTCACAAGAAATTCACCAGGAAATTCAGGAATTGGATTGTTATGATGATGTTCCAGAAGATTTTGACATGATTGTCATTGAATAAATGAGTAAATTCTTGATACTGTAGGATTCACAGTTTGTCTGGTTTGTGTTGACAACTACCGTACTACCGTACTGTATACAGGTAATAAATTTCCTTTATTTTCATTTAACAATAACTGTGTACCATATTCTTCTTCATGGAAAAATAATACATCCCCTGAAAATAAAACCTAGTGCATCTTTGGAAGCAAAAATTAATATAAGACACTGTCTTATTTCCAGGGAAACAGGGTAGCACTGTGACCTTGGGCACATCAGCTCTGCCAGCCTCCCTCCTCCCTGTAGCTGAGGCAGGAGGGCTCTCCAGGGTCCTTCCTGCTCTTGAATCTCAGAGAACTCCACTAGGGTGGTCTTCAGCAAGAATTGCATTGAGGCAATTGAAAATCATGCCACAACCTGTAAAGGCCTTTGAAACGGAAGGAAAGTTTGCAACATGTGGTTTGCTTCAGATGTGTGATTTAGCTGCTCCAAAGATTGAAATGGCAAGGACAGGCTGACAGGATTTAAGCTTCCAACAAGTCGAGGGAGCTGGCCAGAGTGCTGAATCCAGACCTTGAGGGCCGCTCAGCTCCAGCGCCCACACCCTGCTGGCCAGCAGTAGTTCCCTCAGCACAGAGGCAGACAAGCTCCAGACCCACAGCATCAGGCATGCAAAACCCCAGAGCCTCAGCGTCAGGCATGCAAACAGCTGGTGGGTTCCGGGGGTACGTCGCATTTGATGGTTCTCAGATCTGTTAGAACTATTTTACATTTAGGACAGTTTGGGAACAGCTTTGGAAGGAGTGCACTGCAGTTCACATGAATATTAATAGTGCGGGTCTTGGAACAAAGAAAATATTTTCTTCAGTATTGGTAAGTCTCCAAGAAGGAGGAAGTCCCTCGGCGTTAAAAGGCGTGGGATATGGGGGCGTGACGAGCCTTCTGAAATCAGGAATCGCCAGCACCAGTCGGGAAAAGAACTGCTTGCCAAATTGCCCGAGCTTCCCGGGTGCCCCTTACTAAACACTGTCTCCCCTCAACAATGTAGTTCTTGCAGGAAATGCCAATGCGTCTCTTTCATTGTTGCCGTGCAGTGTATCAATATTCTCAAAATCTTCCAAAACCGAAATGCTTGCACCAGAGCTGTACCCCCCACCCCAACAACACCCCAGAGCCCATCACCCCTCCCCACTCCACTAAGAGAGCCAAGGAGCGGTGCCGGCCGGGAAGGCTGTCCTGACTCCGCCGCCGAGGAGGCGGTATGCACTGTTCCTCTTTAGCCCGAGGCCCAGCTTCCCTATTAACACAGACACAACACTTGGCTGAAGCTGAGGTATAAGAAATTTTCTGCTTGACGTGTTTTATGTCCCATTATTATTTTCCCTGCGTGTCACACGCCTCTGCTGAGAACTCGTCTGGTGCAAGGTTTTGGGGGAGGCCCCCGCCGCTTAAAGCAGGAAGGAGGGAGAAAGGGGCTCCAACAGCAGTTCATCGGAAGCTTCTCCCTCGGCTCTCCCGGAAGGTCGGGACTCCAGAGAGGTCCCTCCTGCTGAAAACATCCTCGGCACCTGTCCACGCCGCCACCAGCCTCCCAGGTGGCTGGCTCCCTTTTTTTCTGGGAATCTACGGTGCTGCTACATGTCAGCTCATGGTGGCTGCGGCAGGATAAGCAGGTTACTACTGCTCATGACTTATGGGATGAGACCGGAGGCAGGGCAAACATTAATGGGCTCTGAGTGTGGAGGAGTCCAATCAGTGACACTCCTCCCTTTTATCCCCCCACCCCCACCCCAGCAAACATCACCACCATCACCACTGCCACGATTTAGTTCTTGTTTCATCACGTGGGAGAAACCAGAATGGCACGTTTGCGCATACAGACTATTCACAGCAATGGAGAGAAGCGGATCCAGTCTATACAAGCTCCCCAGTGGGGGTTCTTCAGAGGGAGGGGAAGCCTGTCTCCATGGTAACAGTGGGGCCTGGCAGTTGTCCCACCAGAGGTCACATTTCCTAAAGTTAGAGGAGGCACCCAAACTCCCATGCGAATGCAGAATCTGGCCAGAAGTGAAAGCAGGTCCACGGGGTGGTGCGAGCACCCTCCCGGCTCCTGGGTTTCCGTCAGCATCGGGCAACCAAATCCCTGGCGTGGGTGTTGTTGGAGCTTCTAGGGGAACCCAGGAGACTCCCGAGCATCTCCAGAAGAGAGTTGGGGGCTCATGCACAGGGCCAGGCTCCTGGGGAGTGGGCCTGCCCGGTTCCCTGGTGTGGCAGGGGCAGGCAACAAAGCAACTCAGAGAGATGCCCAGGAGAAGTGGGAACCAGCAAAGAAAACCCGCAGGCATCTCCTCGACGTGACCCACAGCCATTTTGAGAACCAGCTGCTGGGTGCAGCCCCAACAAACCTCTGCAAAGAGAAGCTGGTGGAAGATGAGGGGCAAGCAGAGGGGAACCTGTGACCGAACACTGGTTCGCCCCTGACCAAGGAGCCGATGGGCTGGGGGGAACCCCCCCTCCTTCCCCCGAGGCAGGGCAGCGCTGCATTACCCAGCTCTCGTCTGGCTGGGGTTATGTCCGCCTCTCTCAGGACCAGCTCCTCCGACAGCTGCAGTCCCACTAATAAGCCATTGACCTCACGTTTGATCTGGGGCTGATTTGCGGCGCTGTCTGGGGGAACCCCAGGGGCCTGTGGCTTAACGGGAAGAGATCCTCATTTTAGCAGCAATCGCTTTTCCTCTCTTCCCGCCACAGTGATCAAATTAGCAGGCTGCTTCTCTTCGGAGAAAATGTGTCCGCGTCCCGGGGGCATTGCCCATTTGCCTGTCTGATGGGTTGGGGAAGGGGGAGCGGACGGGGAGAAGAGGGTGTTTGAGAGCAGCTGTCCCTCCCTTCCCCGGCCCCGCCCGGGAGGCTCTCCCCCACCTGGGAGGGCTGGTGCCGCGGGCTTAGCTGCAGGAGACCTGGCAGGTGGCGGTGTACACGCTGCTCCCCGCGGCACCCCCGCTGCTCAGGCTGCTGGTGGCACACTGCAGGGGCTTCATGCTGCTGTCCCTCTGCATGTGCAGGCGCTCCAGCCGCCAGCGCTCCCACCTCTTCCGGAACTCCAGCTGGACCTTCCGTGGGAAAAGGAGGGGAACAAAAGCCATCATGCAAACTGGCCGCCCACAGGATGGCCGTGATTACATTAGCGGGGAAGGGAAGCATCCACGGCATTGCATCAGGAGACACAAGTCAAGGCCTTCGGGCGCCTAAATTAATATCCCAATAAAATTGTTTATTGTTGTCTCCTATTTTCCGCCTCAGCTCAGGAGAGAGAGATGGGCTTGATGGTTTAATCGGTCCCTTCCATCTCTAAACTCTGACTCACCAAGCACCTTCCCCATCCATCTCGGGATCATTGAACGGAAGAGAACGGGAGGGAGAAAGAAACTCGGGGAGACGAGAGGGAGGAGGAGAGAGAATCTGACTTTTCAGCTTGGAAGACAGGAGAAGGACGCATGCCCCCACCCCTCATGGTGCCCACCCCAGGCCCTTCTGACCCCTCACCCCCGGCTTCAGGGGAGGGAGGAGGAAAGGCTGGGAGAGGCTGCGCTTGGGAGTACCAGTGAGGAGGGGGCCGTGGGCCAGGGCTTTGCTACCTGTGTTTGAACTAAGTCCATCCAGGAACCAGTCCGGACCCCAGGGGTGCAGGCAGGTGAGGTCAGTCAACCAGGCCTGCTGTGCGGGGCTCAGGGTCCCCTGAGAAAGCCTTCTCCAGGGGCCTGGTGCTTGGGGACCACGTTGTGGGCACCGAGATCAACTCCAGCTAGCACTGCGGATCCCCAAGTTGCCACAGGCTCGTGGCCACACGCTGGTGACCCAGGTCCCCCAGGGGCTGCTGGGACCTGCACGTCCGTCCAGCCCAGGGCGCCTGGAGGGCTCTTCTGGGGACGTTCCCATAAGTGCTTCCAGAACTTCTCCTATGCCCACCCTCGGACCCAGGCCTCCCCACACTGGAATGTCCGGGATCTGATTCCTCTTTCCGGCCCCAGCCACCCGGGTGGCCAGCTGCCAGCAGCTGGAGGAAGCAGCTCGCTGCCCATGCCCATCCGCCCCTGCACAAACACCCCCCTCTGCTGCCACTGCTGCAGGGACGATGTCCACCCAGCGGGGCCCACCCACGCCTGGTGTGATCGCTCACCACCCCTTAAAAGAACGTCTTCTGCACTGAATGGAGAGGGGCTGCCAGGGGCCTGCCTGCCAGGATGGGCCCAGAGCCCCAGGCCACACTGCGGAGCCCAGGCCCGGGTGCGGAGGGACGGGAAGTGGACACCTGTAGCCCTCGCCACGTGCCAGCTCCCTGCCCAGCAGAGTGTGTGTGGAGCGTATGCTCACAGCTGGGATTGGTCTCTGTGCAGCAGCCATTAACTAGGGATTTGGGGGGAGAGATGGTAAACTGAGGCACGTCCATGGGCAGCCACCCCAGGGACTGAAGGGGGTCTCTTGGACGCCAGCAGGAAACCAGGCAGAACCAGGGCTCCCCAGTGCGTCGACTCTGGGCCTCTGTGCCCATCACCCTCGGCACTTTTCCCAAACCTCTGCTGGTGTCCCTCCCATCACAAAGCAGCGGTTATTGGGAGCTACTACATGCAGCATTTTCCGTGGATCATTTTAGTTAAATGTCACAACAACCCTGTGACCAGCTCCTGTTTGAGGGAACTGAGGTGCGTGGTGTTTAAGTGTTTCTCTGGGCCGGCTCAGTGGTTGAGCCAGGAGGTCACAGTTCGATTCCCGTTAGAACACATGTCCGAGGCAGCCGATCAATGACTCTCTCATCATTAATGTTTCTCTCCCTCTCCCTTCCTCTCTGAAATCAATTTAAAAATCTATTTGAGCCAAAACCGGTTTGGCTCAGTGGATAAAGCGTCGGCCTGCGGACTGAAAGGTCCCAGGTTCGATTCTGGTCAAGGGCATGTACCTTGGTTGAGGGCACATCTCCAGTAGGGGGTGTGCAAGAGGCAGCTGATCAATGATTCTTTCTCATAGATGTTTCTAACTCTCTATCCCTCTCTCTTCCTCTCTGTAAAAAATCAATAAAATATATTTTTAAAAATCTATTTGAAAATATTTCTCTGGCTCTCAGCCTGGATTTGAACTAATCGGACCAACTCCAAAGCCAGTCTCCTACCAGAGGCCCTGCATCCCCCGACTATCTCGGCCATATTTGTTTCTGTGTGCGCCCCGCCCCGCACCCCCAACTCAGGTGGCAAGGCTGGCACCACACCTTCCTCACCTCACTTGTCCTGAACCTGTCACAGTGCCCGGCATACAGTCGGTACTCAGTAAGTGTTTCTTAAAGGAGCCAAATGGATGAATGAGTAACAAATAAGCCCCTGACGTTGGGCTCCTGTATACTGGGCTATTACGATGGAGCCGCATGGACAATGACCAAGTGTGGACCTGGTCCAGCACTGCACCCCCTAAGGCACCCCCATCCTGCCCCACTGCCCCTCTGGCCGGGCACTGAGCCAGGCTCTGGGGTTGGGGTGAACTGGTAATGCTCATTCACCACCATTTGCACTTGGGGAGAGAAGCAAGGCGACCGCCAGGCCACACAGCCAGGCAGTGTCAGAAAGTGGGCTCTGGGGTCAGAGCACAGGAGCCGCCATCAGTTCCCCCAGGCCCCCCCTCCTGGGCCTGCTCCCCGCCCTCCGGCCGCAGGTGCCAGGCAGCCACACAGGACCAATGCCTGGGCCATCTTTCCTCTTCGGGTCACAAGAACCTGGCATTGCCATGGCAACCCTGGGCCTGGAGGACAGGCCCCAGTCCAAGAGCCACAGGTGCCTCTGGGGCCCAGAGATGGTGACAGGTCTGTCCTCATGCTGGCAGCTACAGCGCACAAGGGGCTCCACGAGGGATACAGGTGCACTGGGGGGGGGGAGAGCCTCTGGGACCCCAAGGCAGGAGCCTGGGAGAGCCCCCGAGAGAGGCCAGCAGGGATCTGGTGATTCAGGGGTCAAGTTATTTGCCAAGAGCAGAGCGGGGGTATGTGCGCATCCCTCCCTCAGTACACAGCGGAGCCAGGCGGGGGAGGCCGGCAAGGAGGGAGGTGGCAGGGAGACTGGGCTTTTGGGACTGGAATCAGGAGACGGGACTGAGGCAGGGTCCAGGTGAGACACCCTATGGAAGTGCTGGGGACGCCATTGCACAGGTGCGTGCAGGGGTGGGGCGCGAGCGTGTGCTGCCAGCAGGGCTCTGGGGAAAGGGGAGGGATACATGGGAAGTGGGGCTGGGGTATTCAGTGAGAAGTGGCAGCAAGGAGCCCAGTTCTCTCCTCACAGGCCTCCGCCCCCCTGCCCAGCACACACGGGAGGGGACACCGCCATCCTGGCCCTGTCCCCAGAAGATAAAGCAGCAGAGCTTTGGGCCAGGTGGCACACCACCCCTCTGGTTGTGCCATTCCTACAGAGAATGCCATCCCTCTGGGTGTCCTCCACACCCGCCTTCCCTCCTTGCCTGGCTCACCCCACGCGGCTGGCCACCCCTCTGAGACCTGCCCGGGAACGCCCTTTGCCTGGTGCTGCCTCCGCCTCCTCAGTCCCAGCAGCCCCGACAGCTACATGGGCCCCCTCCCACAGCCTCCCCCAGCCTGCGAGCTCCTCCACCTTCTCGCCAACGAGGGGGCTTTCCTTCCACGTTGCTCAGACTAAATCGTCTCATCTGTAACAGGAGGGTAACACCTGCTGCACAGGATTGGATTCATTAAAACCCCCGAGCACCTCGTACACAACCAGTGCTCCAGAGGTGTCTCCCTCTCCTTCAGAGATCCGAGTCCACGCCCTGTGAGCATCAGTACCTCCTTTTTGTAGACAAGGAGACTGAGGTTCAGAGTGGGCCTGTCGCTCACCCGATGTCACACAGCTCATTTAGTGACGGCGCCAGCACCAGAGCGGAAAGCTGATGCCATTGCCCACACCCTTCAACCTCCCTGCAGCGTCACACTGCTTCTCTGAACATCCCCCAGATCCCCGAAACTCCAAGGTCCCACCGCTGCTCCCCTGGTCCCCCACGCCCAGAGAAAAGCGCAGTTTGCATGAGTGCGCAGACTCTAAGATCTCTGAGCTCCGACCCCGGTCTCAGCGACACAGAGCCACACGGAGAGCTGGGTCTTGGACGAACAGTGTCCCTAGGCCCCCTGAGGCAGACCCTCCCCTTCAGTTACCTGGATCCAGCTGACAGAGCCTCAGTCTCCCCACAGACTGTGGGGAAGGGTGCCGACCTTCTGGGGGTCAGGCCTCTTGTGGAAACTTTCCTAGGCGGCTCTGTGCTGCCTGTTGAACTATTACTTGTTTTCTCCCCTGGAAGGTGTGTGTGTGTGTGTGTGTGTGTGTGTGTGTGTGTGTGTGTCGGGGAGTGGGGTGAGCAGTGAGATCTGTGATATACGCTCTGATGGCTTGAGATGTGCCTGCTCTAGCACCAAGCTGGGTACTTTGGAGCAAGCAGCTTGCCCCCGGCACCACAGACACAAACAGCCCCTCTCCCCAGGAGCTGGCCCTCCCAGAGGGGGAGGGCCGTGGTCCCATGGATCACCAGGAGAGGATGTGGGGTCAGCCAGAGCCCTCCTCCCAGCCCAGCCACCAGGAGGCCACGGAGGAGCTTCCGTGTGGCCGGGCTCTGGCCTGCCTGCAAGAAGGGCGGCTGGCTTCTCCCAGCAGAACTCACTGAGTCCTGGCCCTGCTGCTCTCCAGGCCAAACCTGGGCATGCGTCTCCATCTCTGACCATCAGCGTTCTCATGTGAGGAGCGCGGGAATATCAAATCCGAGCTTTAGCAGGGATTTCTGGGGGGAAGAGGCTGTGACACTTAATGGAGACAATGATTATTAAAGCCCCAAGTCTGGGCCGTGGGCACGTCTGTGGAGTCACCTTGTAACAGTCTCACCACCTACTCACTCAGGATTCCCCTACCATGGGGCTGGGTCTTCCCCAAACTCACAGATGGTAAGGTAAGCCTGCACACACGTGTGTGTGTGTGTGTGTGTGTGTGTGAGAGAGAGAGAGAGAGAGAGAGAGAGAGAGACCCGCACACAGAAAACTGGGTTTGCTAAGTAGGAGTCTGAGCTGGAAGAGTGTGGGGGTCCCCACTGAATAGTTCCAGGACACCGAGGGTGGCAGCCTAGCAGGGTGCCCACGCCCCTCCTCAGGCCTTACCTCGTTGTTGACAAAGCAGTATAAGATAGCCACCATCAGCCCCTGGAAAGGAGAGGCGCGTCAGCAGGCAGGAGGTGAGAGGAGGCGGGAGGAGGGAGAGGCAGGGGGTGGGGGAAGGCTGGCATCCTGCAGATGGCCCTGGTCCCCAGCTCCATGGGGCTCCCGCCCCAGCTTTGCCTGCTGAGACTGGGAAGCCTAGAGCCGGGGGCTGCTCTCCTCTCCTCTCTGGAGGGACAAGAAGTCCTCTTGTCCAGGTGCTCCAGGAGCCTCCCATCTCCCTTAGGGGACAAAGGGCCCCCAAAGGAGGGACCTCTGACTGCATGGACTTCCCCCGCCCAGCCCCATGCTCACTCAGGAGACACGTGCTCCAGAACTCCCATCTGTGTGTGTGTATGTGTGTGCGCCTGCATGTGTGCATGTGTGCTTGTGCATTACTGTATGTGTGCACATGTGTCTCTCGGTGTGTGCATGTGAGCATGCGTGTGTGTTCATGTTGTGTACACGTGTTTATGGGTGACTGTGTGCATGTGCATGTGTGTGCATTTAAGTATTGTGCACATGTGTGTCTGCATGTGCGCGCGCATGTCTCTCTGTGTGCATGCACATACAAGTGTGTGAGTGTGAGTGTGAGTGCACATGTACATGTGTGTACACATGAATGCATATGCATGTGACTGTGTGCGCACATGTGTGTCTGTATGTGTGAATGTGCTGTGTGTCTCTCTGTGTATATGCACGTGTAAGAGTATGTGCATGTGAGTATGTGTGTGTGTGCATGTGACTGTATGCATGTGAATGTGTATGTGTGCATCACATGTGACTGTTTGATGTGAGTGTGTGTGCAAGTGCACACACAGGTCCACATGCTTGTGACCATCCCATGAGCTTCCTGAGAGGCTGGGACCAGTATCTGATGTTCTTACGCCCCCAATGACACCTGAACCCCCGAAGCAGGGTTTTCTAACACTAGTGGAGAAGATCAATTCGTGGCTAGGTGCCCACGGCTACATCCAGAAAGCTTCTTGTCAATGCGCTTACAGAAAAGACCAGCCTGGGCATCGGGGCACCAGGGATTCCAGCTCAGGCTCAGCTCCAACCACACAACCTGGGCCAGGACCCCTCTCCTCCTGGCCCGCTGCCTGCCTGCCTGCTGCCGGCCGGCCGGCTCTGCCCGCGCTCACGCTAGGGCTTTGTAGGGAAGGGCCCAGCCCTGGTCACCTGGAAGGAGGTGAAGGAGAGCTCTGTGAGCAGCTTGACGAAGCGCAGGGCCCCCCGGGCGTGCTCGTCCATCACGAAGGCGAAGATGACCTCATGGGTGCCCAGCAGGGGGATGAGCGTCAACGTGGACTTGGCAAGTCTGGGGGGCGGGGTGGAGATGTCATTCTGGGCCTCTCCCTTTAACTCTTCTCCCCTTCTGTGCCCTAAACCCCACCAAGGCCTGGCATCTGAGTTAGTCACCCTCCCCCCCCAATACCCTGGGGCAGCTGCTTGGAGGGAAGGAGGTAGCGGCCAGTTCCCCCACCCCAGCCCCACCCCAAGCCCAGGAGCTGCCCAGATATAGGGAGGAGGGCAAGGCGTGGGCCCCAGTGAGGTCCAGGTGGGAGACGGTCGTGCAGGCTTAAGCTGGGCCCTGGGAGCTCCGTCTCTGCCGGAAGGAGGGCTGAGGGTGTCCGGCAGAGCCGGCAGTCACGCACCTGCACTTGATGTCCGTCTTGCACATGAGGTTGGCTTTCAGCTTGGACACCACGATGCAGATGACCCGGACGAAGATGAGGAAGTTCACCTGCAGGGCAGACGCGAGGGTGGCCGGAGGCCTTCTCACGACACACTTCCCCATCCCCCGCGGCTCAGCCGGGGCCACCCCCACGCCGCCACTCACCCCGATGGCGAAGAGGATGGGCAGCCGGATGATGAGCCAGTAATTCATGTTGGAGTTCCTGGTCCAGCAGCTGGAGAGGGGAGACACACAGGCGCCCCATAGGGCCCAGACCCCGGCACGGTGCAGGCACAGGGCACCGAGCACACCGGGCATCCGAGGGACACACGCAGAGCCACACGAGCATTGCCACCGGGAGCTACCCAACAACCACCCCACAGATTCCCACACGCACAGCCCTGAACACACAGACACACGGGAGCCCATGAACACAGGCATGTGTGTACCCAGTACCACACACAAAGCAACAGACACTTCATTCCGTTCTTACAGAACCTGGAGGGGGCGCCACGCTCCCCACGGACCCCCACCATTCGTCCTCATACAATCCCGAGGAGGGTGGACAGGGCAGGAGAGAGCCGTCATAAATGCAGCTCTGGTCCCTCAGTGTGTCCTCCCGACAGGTCCCAGCCGCAGGGCCCGGGGCCAAGGAACCCACACGGGGTTTGGGGACAGAGATGTCAGCACACTCACCCCGAGGAGCAGGACACTCACCCCTCGTCCTCATAGCGGTACTTGACAATGCCCCAGGGGATGACAAACAGCAAGGGGATGCCTGAGAGCAGAGGGAGAGAGAGAGGGGGGAGGGGCTGGCAGGCGGGGGCCACCGCACGCACACCCAGCAGCCTCTCCTTCCTGGCCTCCCCCTCCCGAGCCCCGCTCCGTGCCTGGCCAACACCACACTTTCCAGAAGGGGTGGAACGAGGCTGGTCTGGGTGCATGAAGAGCCATGCCCACCGACCCCTCAGCCTTCCTCAGAGAGGGCCACGGAGGGGGAGAGCATGCTGCGTGAGGAGGGAACAGGCCAGACTTCTGTGGCGCTTTCCCCACAGCCTTAGCCCACACCCCCATCTCAGTCCATTTCTTCAGGCACTGGACGCCCCGCCAGACACCTGTTCCCTGGCCACGCACACCTGCGGGGCGCCGGGGAGAGCCTGGGTTGGGAACAGGACCTTGATGCCCGCAGCCCAACCAACTGCACCGTGGCCCACAGCCACCAGGCTCCACCAGGCTCCACCAGGGCCCCGCCTCCTGGCATCCACACCCTGGCATGGTCCGCCTTGTACCAGGGCTCGTCTGGGTGACAATGGATGCACATCGGAAGTGATGGCGTGACCCTTCATAGATGAGGTTATAAAACACAATCGTAAAAGGTTAGGAAAGGCTTGTTGTGGACTTTCTCGCTCAATGAGGTCACCTGTTGCCGTGTCATGAGGACACTTAGCCAGGGCAGAGGTCCCTGTGGCAGGGAATGTCGCCTCCTCCCTGCACCCAGCAAGGCCCTCGGCTCCCTGCACTCAGCCCCTCACGAGAGCTTGGCAGTGGATTCTCCAATCCCGGCTCAGCCTTGAGATGACAGCTGCCCTGATTGACAGCTGGACTCCATCTGTCAGAGACCCTACCCTGACCCAGAGGCCAGCTAAGGTGAACCAGATTCCTAACCACAGAAACTTTGAGGTCACAATTGTTTTAAGCAGCTAAGTTGTGGGGTCATTTGTTTGCAGCAAATGGCAAGGAATGCAACTGGTTTCCCTCACTTCCAGAGCCTGCGCTCAGCTCACCGAGAGCTCGGTGTGTGTGCTGACTTACAGACTGTCCATCCTCACGGGACAGATGGGGAGGGATCGGCTCAGGGGACTCAGGGGGAGACTGCAATCCCACGCTTGTGCCAGTCCCCTCAGTGGCTTCTACACTAACCCCCCCCCCCCATGTCTGTCTCTATGGCGCCCCTCTCAGGGCTGAAGATGTGGGTGTCTGAGATAGGTAATAGGGTGCATTATAAGGGGTGTGGACACAGCTCTCTGTGTGTGTGGGGGTGTCATGCGTAAGCATGTGTGGCTTTGGGGGGTCTTCCAGGGCAGGACACACTTCACAGCCTTTCCTGCCACCGCCATCCAGGTCCGAAACATGTGCTGTTCACTCAACAGCAGCTGCCGAGCGGCTTGCATGTCTGGAGCGGCTGTGTGTGGAGCTGCAGGCAGGCATGGAGGAAGCAGAGAAGCCCACAGCTTCCTCACATAGCTTCCTCTTGGCCATTTATTTGAGCACAACAGACCTCTCAGCATCCACGATGCTTTAACAAGAGGCTTTCACAGATGCCCCAAAGGCCCCAGCACAGAAGACGCTCTGGGAGAAGGGGAGGGAGGGAGGGATGGAGGGAGGGATGGACAGATGGACGATGAAGGAGTCAGTATAGCATTTAGAGAAGGGAAGCTCTCCAGGCAAGAACATGTCAACTCCAAGAGGCCTTCCTGGGCACCCCGGCCACATGTCGTTCCTTTTCTCAGAGCCCCCACTCCAGGCCTGGGCCTCACTCCTGATACCAGACACCGGCTTCCTTCATTCATCAGCATCCCCTTAACAAAGCCTTTCTAAAACCAGGCACAGCGCGGCCGCATGCAAACATTACACACTCCCTGCTGGCTTCATCTCTCTCCCATTTAGAAAATCCACAGGACTGCCTGCAGAGGAAGCTCGAATTAAGATAGAACCAGCTCCAAGAAGTAATGGGGCCCTCGTCCACACTTGTCTTCGTCCTGCGTTGCCTCCTGAGGGGTGGGGATTGGGGTGCCCGGCCGACCATGGACATGGCTTCTGGGAACCCCCAGCTGTGCTGGAGTCCCCACTTTCGTTCTTCTGCTCACACAAGAAGCTGCTCCTTGTTGCCCACGCTGCCAAGAGGGCTAGGCGTCTTGGCATCACAGCGGGCGCTTGGCTCTCTGACTCTCTCTGACCTTCTGCCTTTGTCCCTCTGTCTCTCTCTATCTCCATATGGCAATCCCTCAAGAAGAGGATGCTCTGACTGGGGAGGGGGTCCCCTTAAGCCCCTCAGACCCTGACTCCTGAGCTGGGGAGTGAGGTGGTAGAAAGACTGGCACCTCTCTCCCATTTCCCACTTGATACCTCAGGGCACAGTGTGTCCCCACCAACCCTCCACCAATCACCCCCTCCTCTGCACACACCACAGCGTCCCTTTGATTGTTCCTGTCCACCGGTCGCCATGGTGACAGGCACTCCCAGTGCTGATGCTATTTCCCAGAATGGACATCAGCAGCCCCTCCCTGAGGACAGAGCTCTCCACACGGGCCCACCCCGGCTCTCCACGGGCCCTCCAGCTGCCGTGCCTGACTGCCCTTGTGGGATAGAGAGGCCTCGGAGGTCAGGGAGGGGCCGAGCCTTGGGTTGGGGGGGGGGAGGGGTGAAGACGGGAGCAGGGAGCTGAATGCAGAGACCAGGCCCAGAGGGTCACCTGTGCAGAGGCCTGAGCATATTCCACTGGGCAGAGGGGACGGGAGGAGACACAGTGCCGGCTGGAGAGCCGGGCAGGACAGGTGGGGCCCAGAGCCTGGGACTCAGGAGGCTGTTCCAGGGCTACCCTGCCCATGAGGCCCTGCCCCTTCTGTGAGACCCTGCCCATGAGGCTCTGCCCCATCTGCACCCCAGTGCCCTCCATACATTGACCCCACTATTGCCCCTTAGAGGCAATTCTTCTACGCTGGGCCACACGGAGCCGAGTGGCCGAGGGATGCCAGCAAGAAGCAAGGAGTGTGAGAGAGCACAGAGGCAGGGTGGCAGGCCACCTGCGTGGCCTCTTGAGGGGCGGGCTGGACCGGGCAGCCTTGCCAGGCCCAGGGGCAGGAGGCAGCATGGATGGGCCTTCGAGGGGGACGTGGCCGTGACTGAGTGGAAGTCCCTGGGAGTCGGGCAGCAGTCAGAGCAGCTTGAGGCGGGCGAGTGAAGGGAGGGAGGAGTGGGTGGATGGCTGCTGCTCCGGAGGAGGGGGCCTGTGGTGGCGGGGGGCAGGGACCCGCAGGCCGGGGAGGCCAGGCGGCAGGGCCTGTGCTGCATCTCCGTGGGCACCAGTGGCCCTGGAGCAATCCTATTTTCCGGGGACGAGTGGGAGCCAGGGGGTGCTAATGGGGTCCCAGCCCCTACCCCACCACTCACTCCTCATCGGGATCCCACGTGGCGAGAGGCAGAAGCACAACCAGAAATGTTCCAGCAAAAAAAAAAGACACAGTGGTTCTCGGCAAACTTTTTTGGCCAGAACATTTCCGGCCGGGCTCCAGGCGCATCCGCGATCCACCTTCCTCCGCTGGCGTCCGCGACCCCTGCCCTCCTCTGACCCCTCGTCCCCATCGGTGACGAAGCCACAGCCCTCTGCCCAGCCAGGGACCCCACTGCAGCCCGGGAACTCCCTCTCCCTCCGGCCTCGCTGCCCAGGGCTGGCAGCTGTGGGCTCCGTCCCGCGGGCCTCAGGGGTGGGGGTATTGGAGGACGGTGCAGGGCTGTGGCATGGGCAGTGGATGTGGCTTCCATTAGGGGGAGGGCTATGAAAAGGGGGAGGGTAGCCCTAACCCCATGGGCAGCACGGCCTGTTCCCAGGTGAGAGCTACCCAGGGAGCCCTGCCCCAGCCCGGCAGTGTGCTCTGAGCACCAAGGCGGCTTCAGGGGGAGGGGGAGCCCCTGCACCTCCCTCTCCCCTTTCTTCCTCCCTCCTCCCCCCATCCCCCCTGAGGTGGGGATGTGATGGCCGGGGGGCCTTACCCCAGCCTATGCTCAGGTAGAGCCGGAAGACGCGCTGCTCGGAGAAGACGGAGAGGGCCAGCAGCGTGTACAGGTACACGCCCTCCACCAGGAGCCAGTAGTAGTTGGCCGCCACGCAGTACTGCATGAGCAGGAACACCAGGCGGCAGCTCAGCGAGTCCTGGGGGCAGAGGAAGGGTCCCGGGAGGGGGACGACAGCTCTGGCCCCGGCCTCTCTTCACCCCTCCCCCGGGTCAGACCAAGAACTCCCTAAGGGCAGGGGCCGTGTCTCCTTGGACTGCCCCTCCCATCAGACTGGGGGCTCCCCGAGGACCAGGTCTGGGCAGCTCTTGCCTTCCTCTGTGCCGGGCCTGGGAGGATGGGGGACACCAGCCTCCACCGTCTGCCCGCCCCTCCCCGGGCCCTTCCCAGGCACACCCCGCACCTGGTAGGAGAGGAGCCCGTCCCACGCGTGCTGCGGGGCCGCGGTGCTGTACATCCACTTGAGGGCCGCGTCCTTGACGAAGACGGACAGCGCCCGGAGGATGAAGGACGCGAACAGGTTCAGGTGGATGTAGTTGCGGGTGCAGTGCAGGTGTCTGGGAGGGAAAGCAGGGCCTCTGGCAAGACGGCCCGCAGCCCCCGGCTCTCGGGCAAGCACCCACAGGGAACGCTCCAGCTCAGGGGCTGTGCTCCTGTCCTCCTCTGAGAATGCCCGTCTCCCCACACCCGTGACAACCCTTTTGCTTCTTTTGAGTCTGGCCTCTCCGTAAGCCTTCGGTTGTGTGGTCCCTGCACCTCCACCCCCACCCACATTCTGTCCTCTGTCTGTGGCACCTTCTTTGCTACAAAGTCATGTGCGGCCCAAGTGGTGAAGGTGCGAGGACCACTTCCCCTGGTGGGGGAGAGGGACCCTTCTTACCTACCTCAGGGCTGTTGTAGAGGGCACACAGAAAGGATTCCAAAAGTATTGGATACAATTTCAATAGCCTTTCATGTAAAAACAGTGTTACAGACTGGAAATATGAGGGCATTTCTTAGCATAGTAAGGGCTATCTACCCAAACCAGGAGAAAACATCACTCTTAACAAGGAACTTTAGAAGTATTCCCTTTAAAATCAGAAAAAAAATAAGGATCATCCTATCTAATAAAAAGAGTAATATGCAAATGGACCATCACTCCAACACACAAGATGGTCAAAGATGTGGTCAAAGATGGTTGCTTCCATGTGGTCAAAGATGGTTGCTTCCATGTGGACATAAGATAGCCAGCAGGGGAGGGCAGTTGGGTGCCATCAAGTCATCAGGGGAGGGTAGTTAGGGGTGACCAGGCCTGCAGGGGAGGGCACATAGAGGCAATTGAGTTGGCGGGGAGTGGTTAGGGGGCAATCAGACAGGCAGGCAGGCAGCAGTCCTGGATTGTGAGAAAGATGTCCCAAATTGGAGAGGGTTCAGGCTGAGCTGAGGGCAAGCTCCTCCCCCCCTCTGTGCACCAATTTTGTGCACCAGGCCTCCCGTCTGGACATAAGAAGCTATCTTCACATCTATTCACAATGCACGACTGACCCTGGCCACCATAATAAGAAAAGGAAAGAGTGTGTTGCAATTGGGAAAGCCTTGGTTGGCGTGGCTCAGTCGCTTGAGGCATCATCCCATGCACTGAGGGGTCATGGGTGGATTCCAAGTCAGGGCACATACCCGGGTTTCAGGTTTGATCCCTGGAGGCAACCAACCAATGTTTCGCTCCCTTCCTCTCTCTGTCAAACCAGCAAAAACATATCCTCAGGTGAGGATTTAAAAAAAATAGATTTGAGCATAAAGTAACAAAATTGTTATTATTTGTAGATGAAAGATTATCTTCATAGAAAATCCAAGACATTTGACACATAAATTATTAGAACTAGTAAGAGAGTTCATCAAGGTGATATGTAGGTTCGTATACATCAGCAACAAACAAGGAAAAAGTAAATTTTAAAAATTCATTTATAATACTTCTAATTGACTACCTACAAATAAGCGTGACATAGTATGGGCAAGATTTCTAGGCAGAATAAAACTTGCTAAGATTATTAAAGAAGACTTAAGTTCATTGAAGCTATACCGCATTCGCAGAGAGACTCACTCTCCTAAAGATGTCAATTCTCCCCCTATTAATTGATAAGGTCAATATAGCTATAACAAAAATTCCAACAGTGTTGGTTTTTACAAATGAAATTTAAAAGCGTATAAAGAAGAGGCGAGGGCTAAGATTAGTCCAGATCACAAAGAAGGGGTCCTTGCTGCAAGTGAACAGAGACTTCTGATGAATATATAGTAGCAAAGGCACCATAAATGAAGAGTCCAAGGAACATGACCGAAACCAACCCAGCCACCGCTGGCCCTTGCTGCCTGCAGGGTAGGCATTGCAACCAAGGGGGTAGGGTGACTGGCAGTAAATGGTCCTGAGACAATTAACTAGATGTATCCACCTTTATTTCCATCAGAGACAAAAACAAATTCCAGGCACATCAAAGAACCATAAGGAATGAGCAAAACTCATGACCCCAGGAGATAAGGGACGATTTCTCAAACAAGACCATAACAAAATGTGGTCTTTGGAAAAGATGATACATTTTAAATCAATTGACAAAAAAATTTTTTTTTAATCTATTCACAAAGTTCGTTTATCAATAAAAAAATTAATATGTTTCATCCCATTAAAATTGATGTCTTCTGTGCATAAAAGGCACCAGACTAAGAGCAGACATTTCCTGCATTGATATCCAGAATGTATAATGAACGCCTAAGATAAAAACGAAGAAGCCAAATAAGCCAATAAAAAAGTAAGCGATTCTACGAGCAAGCAATTCACAGAATCAAACATAAAATACGTTGCTCTCTCTGGGAATCAGAGATATGCGCATTAAAATCACAATGAGATATTTCAGACACTTTAGATTAGCAACAATTAAGCCTGGAAATACTGAATAGTGGTAAGGGTATTAAGGGAAGGGAACTCTCATTAACTGGTGAGAGAAGGCAAACTGGTGTGATCACTTCGGAAGCAACCGCACCTGATAAATTTGCAACAGCACGCACTATTCCGATCGGGCAACTGTACGTGGAGGCGTGTGCCCTCGGAGAAATGCACGAGGGGTCACAGGGAAGAGCGTTCCTTGTAGCAAGGTTTATAATCCAGGAGAGGAAAACTTCAAATGCCCACTCAAAGGACAAGCGATAAATGAACTGTGCTACATCACACAATGTGGTACACGGCGACAGTGAAAAGGAATGAAGAATGACCTGTTTCAACGGAAATGAATCTCCCCCAAAACATTGTCAGGCCTAAAATAACACTGCGGAAGAAATCAATGTCCAGCATGTCGTCTAAAGCATGCACCATTCGGGCTATATATTCTTACGGAGACTTACAAAAGCACTGAGAGTCTTCCAGAGAGATGCGTGGGAATTATAAGCAGCCCTCTGAGGGGACAGGAACTAAGTGCTATCCTGGGGATCGAAACCGTGGTTCTTAGACTGGACGGTGCGTGCATGGGTGACCCCAGCATTAGCCACTGTATCTCCAAATCACTGAAATACTTCATAGTGAAACTAATTCCTGGAGCGAATACATCTATTGAGCACTGACTGTGTGCTCAGCACTGACTGTGTGCTCAGCAATGACCGTGCCAGGAACCAGGGGACACAGGAGGAGTACCACCTCTCTGGCTTCTGCTGACGGGTGTCCTGAGCTCCCCGTCCTCGGACTCCCTCCTGCCCTTGATGCCAGCCCCCCGCCCACCCCTAGCCAGTGCCGAGGGCGTGGAAAGAAGCTGGTACCCCGGATGGAATGGCTCCTCCAGGAAATCCTTTCCCTGGGGTGACTGATGAGCTCTGAAGAGAGCAGGCCCTCTGAACCCGAGGCCTGTCTAGAACCATACTCAGCCCTGACTACCTGAGTCACACACATGCCCTAAGAGCATGTCCCCTCAGCTCAGCCCCCGGTGAAGGGGTGCGGGTGCCTCGTGTGCGGACATGTGGCGTTTGTGTTCCTTTCTTACATGCACACGTTGATGAAGCGGGGATTAGACGCAGCACACAGCGTCATAGCCCTGTTTTCAGCCTCACATTCGATGGCGCAGGCTCTCTGGAGAGAGACCTCTTGGGGGAAGGACCTGCTGCCTGTGGTTTTGGTCTGGCGCCTCCCCCCCCCCCCCCCGCCGCCTGGGCACAGACAGGGGTTGGGACGCGGCAGGGCCTCGGGCGGGCCTCTTACCTGAAGCCCAGGAGGATGGTGGAGGCGATGACCAGGGCGGAGAAGGAGAGCGCATAGCCCACCGTGTAGACAATGTAGAGGGACAGGAGCTGGTCCTCCGGGGAGCTCTGTGTGCACACAGGGACACGCGGACATGGATGCCCCAGGACGTCCCTCCCTCACCCCTCCTTCCCATAGGACCGTGGGTCCCCAGAACGAAGAAAGAGAATAAGCCAGGGAGATGGACCCCCAGATCCCAGGGCCCTGGTCCCAGGCCAGAGGCAAACACACACCGCCTCTGCCCAGAAAGCATGGTGTGCGGAGCTACCACCCGGAGCGATGGAGATGACGAGGCCCGGCCCACACCCACCAGGGCCCAGGGTCCTGCTCCACTGATGCTGGGACCTGCTACCCCTTGCTGGCCCGGAGCCCCATCTCCAACTCACCCTGTCCCCGCGCTTGGACTCCTCGCACTCCGACAGGTCCCGCCAGGGCAGGCTAGAGTTGACCTGGTGCAGCCACAGGCCGTCGGCCGTGCAGAAGCGGTACACATGGCCCTGCAGCACTGGGGAGACATGGGGGACCCGGGGCTGAGCCTCAGCCGCTGCCCCGAGCCTCCCGTCCTCTGTACCCTGGGCTCCCCACGCCCCCGGGACTGGCCTCTGGGAGTTAGTAACATTCACATACAGCACACACACAGACGCCCGCACACATGGCTCCTGCCCAGCCAGGTGCCCGCCGGGCCCAGGGACAGGGAGGCAGTCACGAAGATGGGGTGCGCCCTCCTTGTCCTGGCTGCACCGCAGGGCGATCGGGAAGCCTTGCCTGAGAGGAGCCGACTCCAGCCGCTCCCGGCCCCGTCTCCGCCTCAGGCACACTGCTCCCAGGTCCTGTGACCTCAGTGGCCCTGCCAGCCCGCAGCCACCTGCTGCGGCTTCGGACCCGCAGGCTCAGTGCCCACCTCCCCCCCAGAGCGGGCCTGGAAACCAAGTGGGCAGGAGGGACTAAGAGGAAGCGGGTGGGTGGACACAGCCCTGTCCTCAGGGAGCCCCAGTCTGAGGGGACACAGCTCTGTCCTCAGGGAGCCCCAGTCTGAGGGGGACACGGCCCTGTCCTCAGGGAGCCCCAGTCTGAGGGGGACACGGCCCTGTCCTCAGGGAGCCCCAGTCTGAGGGGGACACGGCCCTGTCCTCAGGGAGCCCCAGTCTGAGGGGACACAGCCCTGTCCTCAGGGAACCCCAGTCAGAGGGGGACACATCCATGTCCTCAGGGAGCCCAGTTGAACAGGAAGGAAGCACACTTCCTGGCTTTAATGAGACTCACAGAAAAAAAAAAAAAAGCCAAAAATGCGGCAGAAAGGAAGCACAAATGCAAAACAAGAGAGAGCAAGCCCCGGCCAGGCGAGCGGTGCCCTTCACGCACATCCAGGCCTCTGGACCGGAGTCCGTCCCCGGCCAGGCACACCGTCCCCTCCCCAGGACACCGGGCCTGTGGCCACAGGTTGCTCAGTGAGCATGAGTCTGCCCCCAGCGCAGGACTCGGGACAGAATGAGAGGGGACGGGAGGGGTGGCACAGGGGGACCCAGGAGAGAAGCTGGAGCCAAGACAAATTTTAAGAGCTTACAATTCTAATGATGTCAGAGCCCTGCTTCCCCAGCTGTGGGAGGCAGAGCCCAGTGAGGGGAGGCGGCAGGGGGGCAAGCTTCCTGGTGGAGGTGGAATTAGATCTTGTCTGCGGGCTGGCCAGCCTTCCTGCTGGGGCCCAGGAAGGGCCTAGGCTGGGGCTGTCTCCCAGTGCACACAGTGTGAGTGCAGACTTCACTGCAGGGTCTGGGACAGCGTCTCCCGACCCCGTCAGGCACCTGCAGGCCCTGTCCTCCCTAGCTGGTCCCTGGGCACCTGGGCAGCCTCCCTGCTGGCTCTCCTTCCCCTGCTCCCTGCCACAAGCAAAGCCTGAACCAGGTCCCGCCCCGGACTGAGCACACGATGAGGCATCAACTTGCAGCATCGCTCCCAGAAGGCCCTGCATGTTAACAGCCTTCTCCGGGAAAGTCTGAAGTCTAACGGCGGGACCTCCGGAAGCCGCAGATTCTGTCCCAGCACCCCTAACCCAGAACCAGGCAAGACAGGGGCAGAGGAGGGAAGGACCCGTCTCAGGCCCCGTAGGTGTCTGCTGTCTGCTGGGTGGATGCCTGAAAGCCTTCACTAGGGATCTAGTCCTTTTCTGGCCAAACCAGTGCTAGGTAAGCCCACAGCAGTGCCAGGATCTGGGCTCTCACCCCTTGGCGAGTGGGTGGGGAGCGAGAAAGAGGGAGGCAGAAGGGCCAAGGGAGGGGGAGGACATGGCCTGGGGCACAAACCATCAAGTCGCCCAGTTACCCAGCACTCAGCCCATGCAAGCGTGACCCTGCTGATACCTACTGGCCACCGCGGGCTCAGGGCCTGGCACTCCACAATTGCACTCCCATCACGCCCCTTTGCACACCCGCTCTGCAGGCTGCTCACTCATAGAGCCTGTCTCACGCGCCTGCTGTATGCCTGACACCTTGGAGCATCACAACCATCTGACACGGTTCACCACGTTTGGCAGGTGGAGACACGGAGCCTCTCAGAGGCCAAGCGACCTGCCCCAGACCAGCCGGCCAGGACGCAGCAGCGGTGGGACTCACACCCCAGCTCTTCGCCTCCAAAAGCCACGAGTTAGCAGCCACATGCACTGTTCCGAGTGAGTCAACATTGGCCAAGTGCCGCTTCTCCTCTGCCCTTCCCGGTCGGTCACCGGCATCCGGGGTCCCTCTGGCAGGTTCTCCCGCCAGCGGGACCCCAGGCCGCCCCTCTGCTCAGGGCCGGCGGGGAGGACGGGAGGATGGGGAGGTGGTGTGAGCACAGATGTGGTGTTACTGGCAGAGCGTCAGGGATCACCGCATCCCTGAGAGTCTGTGCGAGGGTGGCTGTCAATTATCCCTCAGCAGCAGCAAATATTAAAATCCAGGGCCGGCTCCTGGCCGGGCCGCGGTCCCCAGATGCCCATCTTGGCTGTGGGCGCAGCGGGTCCAGGCCCAGCCCTGCTTATCAGCCCAGCTTTATCTGGCCCGGGAGCTGCGGGTAAGTCAGCCAGGGGCTTGGCTCCGGTCTTGTCAACACCAGGAGGCCGCCGGCCGCGTGCCAGGAGGCCCAGGCATATTTCATTAAGTCAGATCCTGGTGTTGGAAATAAAACCCCCAATTAAACACTTCCCCTCCCGGAAACTGCAGCAGCGTCTGTAATCAAGCTAACAGCCGCCCTTCCACGTGGCTGCGGCACGCGGGGCCGCCGAGAGCCGCTCATGAATCCATTAGCTCTGCTCTGGCAGCGGCAGTGCCAGCAGGACGCCTGGCCACTGTCACAGACCGCGGGCCCCGCTGAGGGCCCCGAGGGGGGGGGGGGTGTCACAGCCCTCCCCAAAGGGCTGACATGCAGGTCAGAGGCGGGGCTCGGACATCAGCGCGGGGTGAGGTGGGGGTGCAGCACCAATCACGGCCCAGGAAGAGGAGGGCAGGCTCTGAGCTGCACAGACTCAAGTTCAGATCCTGACTCTGCCTCAGCCAGCCATGGGAGCGGGAACAGCCCTCCTGGGAGTCTGTTTCCTCATTTGTAAACGGGACCGTAATGACTGCCCTGCCCGGGTCTGCGAGGTGAGGATTAGGAGAAAAAGAGCGTGAAGTGCCTAGTGCAGTGGCCAGCAAACTGCAGCTCGCGAGCCACAGGCAGCTCTTTGGCCCCTTGAGTTTTTAGCAAAGGCCAGCTTACGAGTTACCCTAATTAAGTTAATAACAATGTACCTACCTATACAGTTTAAGTTAAAAACATTTGGCTCTTGCCGAAACCTGTTTGGCTCAGTGGATAGAGCGTCAGTCTGCGGACTCAAGAGTCCCGGGTTCGATTCCGGTCAAAGGGCATGTACCTTGGTTGCGGGCACATCCCCATTAGGGAATGTGCAGGAGGCAACTGATCCATGTTTCTCTCTCATCGATGTTTCTAACTTCCTATCCCTCTCCCTCTCTGTAGAAAATCAATAAAACATATATTAAATACATAAATAAATAAATAAAAACATTTGGCTCTCAAAAGAAATTTCCATCCTTATACTGTTATTTGGCTCTGTTGACTAATAAGTTTGCTGGCCCCTGGCCTGGTGCCCAGGAAGCCTTCAACATGTGGTCCCTGCAGGAACCCTGATGCTGCCCCACCCTGATTTCTCCAAAGAGCACCCCTTCCCAGAGGCTGGGCTGGGGCTGGGGCTGGGGCTCGGGACACCTCCTCGGCCAGAACTCCTCCAAAGCCAAGCTCGGGTCCATCTCCCCTGGGCAGCCCGGGCGCACCCATGCTGCTGCTCAGGGGAGGCACCTGTCAGAGCTCCCGAGACTTGTGAGTGATAGGCCATTTTACACGCCTTTTATGGCTCCTGTGTAATTAGAGCTGAGCTGACACGCAGGTCGAGATCGGGAGGGGCTACAGCTAATGAGGCCAGATGATGGGTAACAAGCAGATCGCTGTGTGTGTGGGTGAGCGGCCCTCCTTGCCTTCCTCCTCTGCCTGTTCATTCAGGCCCGGAGTCACCGCTCTGAAAGCCACAACGTGGGCAGGAGAGGTGGCTCTGACCTCCCTCAGCACACACCGCTTCAGCCTCGTGGTGCGGGGTCATCCTTACTGCCCAGCACACACACTCACACACCCCTAAGCGGGACTCACCCTGGCCGCCCCAGCTCCTGACACAGACCTAACTGTTTTGAATGTAGTTCTTTGGTCATTCATTCCCCGGCCTGCTCTGCCCCCGGGAGGCTGACCCTTGTGGACAGCATCACTTGGGCTCTCTGACCTCTACTGGGTTTGACTAAGGGATATGTCAGCAGAAGGTAGGAGGTCAGGAGAGGGGAGACGCTGGGGGATTTCTCCCTGGCTCCCTTCCTGCCTTGATTTGGAGGTTCAGTCAGTGGCCTCAGGCTGGCCTCTCTGTCACCATGACCTCCAGCTGTCAGGGGGCCCCAGAGCCCTGTACCTGCCCCACTGGGGTGCAGGGGTGCTAAGCTTCCCTCAGCTGTCGTCCGTGGTGCTTCATGTACCTGTCAGTCCCCAGCTCTGCCAGCCTCTGTAAGTGCCCACCGCTAACCTCTCTTCCACATCCCAGCTGAGTGTGTTTTCCGCCAGCATCCCGCCCGAGACAACCCTTCCTTCTGCCCACCCCGAAGCCGTGCTCACTGGTCACTTCCTGTTCAGCCCAGAAAGATCCCAAACTCCTCCTTCCTGCTCCCGAATGCCCTGTGTGGGGGTGAGGGAAGCCAGCCTCTGCCCATGGGGCGGCCAGGCCAGGCCAGAGACAGCAATTCTGCTGCGGGAGCCCGGTGGGTGTCTCTCCGGATCCCTCACTCGGGGAGAGGGGCAGGGGAGGCAGCTGGGTGGTTCTGAGTGTCAAAAAGGGGCATGAATCAGCGCGGGAGTCAGGGAGGGGCGGGGGCTGGCAGGGGCCTGGGCTGCGGCCGTTATCTTCGCGTAGAAAGCAATAAAACTGTGTTCGCTCATAAACGGGCACCACCAGGACCTATTTCCTGCTCAAATAAAATTAAAGGTGATGGATGGAGCCAGAAGCAGCAGGGGAGGGGGGGTGGCTTGTGCTGAGTGATGGGGCCTGTCCGGCGCCTGGCTCCGGGGGGTCTAGGGCGCAGCCCAGGCAGGACCGTAAGCAGCCTCCAAACCTCTGGGAGGAAGGGACCGTGGAGGTATTCGGGGATGAGGGGGAGGTAGACAGAGTGGGTAGAAAAATTAACAGCAACCATTTTTCAAGAACCTGCAATCCTCCCAACACCCCCATCCCCTGGCTCCGCCCCATGTCCCAGGTGAGCCAGCTGAGGCCCAGGGAGGCCTGAGGGTTCCCTCCAGCTCACACAGCCCCTCAGAACAGCAGCAAGCACAGCAGCTGATTGCCAGACTGCTTTTCCCTCTCTGGAAAGAGGGCAGGCAGCTCCCTGCTCTCCCTCAAGCTGTGCCCAGCCAGCGATGCCCCGGCCACTCACCTGTCTCCATGCCCAGGAATACACACACACACACACTCATGCTTGCACACACAGGGAAGTCTGGGCTAGCAATTAAACTGGACTGCTGACTGAGTCCTGGGTCTTATATTTACAAGCTGTGTGAGCTTGGAAAGGTCACTCAGCATCTCTGTGCCTTGGTTCGAACCTCTGTAAAACGGGAGATAACCGGAGTGCTGGCCTCAGGGTTGTGAGGATTACATGAGCTCAGGCATGTGCAATGCTTACAGCAGGCCACAAGGCGCTGTGTGAAGGGGCTGTCACAGCCAGGCTCGCCCTGTGCACCTCGGGGAGGGGGTGTCCTGCAGGCAAAGAAGGGGAGAATCTGTAGGACCCCTGCTGCGGCCTCCTATGACCTGAGTCCTGAGAGCTGAGGTGAGGCTCCTGCCAGGCCCTGCCCTGTTCGGCTAAAAGGCGCCTCCTCCAGGAAGGCTGTTGGCTTCCCGTGGTGCGGAATCATTTTCACACTTGCTTCCGGCCTGGTTTCTGCTCAGTCAGTCTCAGGTCCCCTCGGACACAGGAGTGAAGATCCCAGGTTGGGTTCAAATCCTGGCTCTGCCATTTACCACATCCTCGGGAGCAAGTAGCTTAAGCTTTCCGGGGCCTCAGTCTCCTCATCTTTACAAGAAGCATACCCATGGGGCAGTAGTAAAGATTCAATGAACACCCTGCTTTCAGGTAATTTTTGGCACATAGTAGGTCTTCAATATATATCAACCCTTTCTGTGATCGTTATTATGACAGCGTGTCTTTTCTCCCAATTGGGACTGAGCTCCTTGAGGCAGGGTGCGTGTCTCTGTTAACCCCCCGACACTGAGATAGATGGGTAGTATGGGGGTGCACTAACTGCCCCTCCAGACAGAGCCCCGCATGCAGCCTCTGTGGTCTCTGTACCCCAGGGACCCCTTACTTATCTGGTCACACCTTCCCCATGCAGGGCACCCCCTGCAGGCAGGAGTGAGCTGGGAGGCCTTAGGGACAGCTCCCAATGCCCTCATCACTACTGCCACTGGGTCCATCTGACAGCGAAGCCCTGAAGAGTTAGGAGGTGGCTACATGCCACCACCAGGTACAGGGCACCTACCAACACCCAGCACATATACATGCATACATATATACATGCATGCATGCATGCATGCATGCATGGATACATCAGAGCAATGGCACCTTCTAGGACTGTTCCCACATTTCTCCTTAAGTCAGACCCCACACTTCCCCCACCCCACCTGCTAGCACAGCCCCAGGCCCAGTTACACCCAATGCCCCCCACTGTCCCCTCACTCCAAGGAAAAGCAGACAGGCTACCCAGAAGGAGACCTAAAGACCTTCTGGGGTGAGGAAGGCTGTGTCCCAGTGGAAAGGAAGCAGTGTGCACCCCATCCCAACTGCACCCCCGGCCTCCGGGGCACCGGAGGACGATCCAGGGGAGGGGACTCACCGCTGTTGGCCCAGGGCAGGTACCAGGGGCAGCTGACATTCACGAAGGAGCCGGGTGGCCCGTCTGGCCAGCAGGCATAGTCATCGAAGGTCCGGTTGCAGAACAGGTCTGGGTGCAGAGAGAACAGTCCTGAGTCCCGCCTGTCCGAGGCACCTCCCCACCACGGGGCTGGGGGGTAGGCGGGGGCAGGACCCTGCGCTCTGCGAGCCTCTGCTGAGCACCTGCTCTTTGCCAGGCAAGCAGACTTGGCCCCTTAGCAGTGGCACTTTGAGCAAGTTGCTTAATGTCCCTCTTCCCTCATCTGTAAGATGGGGGTAACCCCGGTTCCCCAGGGCTTTGTGGGGGTACAGAGTGCACGGCATGGAGAGATAGCGGAGCATAGTAAGTGCTCAGTAAACAAGCTCCTTAGGACTATTCTTATTCACTGCCTTCGAGGGGAAAATGGGAGCTCACAGGCTGTTGTCACCTTCCTAAGGTTGCTGCGTTGTGATTGCAGGGTCAGGATTTGAACCCAGGCCTATTGGTCTCCTAACCCCGCCTTCCCCCCAACATTCACTGTTACAGATATGCCGGTCGGCCCACAGTCCTGGGGGGGAGTGCAGAGGACACAGAATGGAAAGGCCTGAGGGGCCCACGCCAGTGACACCAACAAAACAACACCCCAAAGCCCAGGGCAGACATGACGTCCCAGAGGTGAAGGATGCCCACCCCAGGCACGGGCCCCACCTGGACTCACCAGTGGCTGGGGGTGGAGCCTCAGTCAGGAAGCGCTGGCACTGGTGGCGATACTCCCGCCATTTCTGCACCGTCTCCGAGAGGGACACGGTGGCGCCCTGCGGGGAGGGCAGACATGGGGCCCCTCTGTTTCAAGCCAGCCTCTCTTCTAACCCCCACCCCCAACACACTTGGTTTCTGGATGTCCAGGTGACCTGGAGCCCCGACTTCCACCAACGCTGGCAGTCTGAGAAGGGGACGGGACCCAGTGGCGCTTCAGAGGACGTTTTTATGTCTCTATCCCTCCCAGCGGCTGGTGCCCAGTCTGAGGAGTGGCAGTGCCCCGCAAGTGTCTCCTGACTTGATGCTTTGGGGGAGGCGTGGGGGGAAAAGAGGGGAGGATGTGGGTCAAGCATGGTCTCCTCTGACCTCACCTGGGAACCCCGTGCTCTGTGACTGCCGAGGGCCCCGTTCCCAGGGCCCAGTCAGCCTGCCAACAGGCTTCTCAAACTTCCAACCCTTCTAGAAGGGAAATACAGGCCCCGAGTGGCAGAGGGACACAGTTGGGGCCACACAGCACCCTAAGGGGCAGAGCTAAGGCCAGCTGGAGTCCTGGGGGGCAGAGGTGCTGTGGGGCTCACCGCTGGTAATTCGACTCTCCTGCACAAAGCAATCCTGTGGGGGAGGCAGCAACACTGCCCAGTGTCCCCTGTAATATGACAGACAACACAGGTAAAATGTGCAGCCCAGCTCCAGGCAGCTGGAGAGGGACGTCCTGAGGGCCTGGTGTGAAGGGCTCAGGAACGTTCCAGAACATGGAGCTCAGGCCTGTGACGGGAGGGGTCCCCCATCTGGGATTAGGGGAATATGAGTTTCAATGTTCAGATAAGGTAACAGAACCGGCCTTTTAGCATGGAGACCCCAGTGGACCCGCCCGGTGAGCACGGTCCCTGCCAAACATTTTTATGTACTTCCTGTAGGTTTGTCTTGGGACTCTGTTTCTTTTCTTTCCTCTTTTCCTCTTTTTTTTTTTTTTTTTTTTTTCCTGAACTGGCTCAAGATTATAAACATTCCTGATGTAGAGGCTGCAGTTGCGAAATGAGCAAGGAGCCCTACATATAAAATTTAGGACCTATGCATAATTTAAAAGAAATCTCACTTTCTGAAATCACACAAGTAGACATGTGTGCTGAAATCAAAATAGCTTCTTTTGGAAGCTCCCAGCCTTGACTGGCGGGGCCCTGAGCGCTCACTGGGCCTGGTTTCTGAGGGTCCCGCCCCCGGGGAGCAGAGTCCTGGCTTAGAAGACACGGCCCGGCCTGTAAAAGACACATGTTACCACGTGCTGGTCCCCCAGGGAGGGCACCAGGCCTGCTGGAGCCCCAGGCACATGCCTGGAGGAAGCGTGCTGGAGGATGGAGCTTTTCTGAGGGCAAAGTTCGAGAGTATTTGAATAGTATTGTTATAAATAAATAACATGGTTCCTTAGTCAACCTCAACAGCAGCAAAGACAGCAGCAGGATTTTAGCTACAAATGAGGCCTGGTGGGCCCACCCCACCCTCCAAATCCCTTTCCTGCGGCTCTGGCCCAGCCTGCAGCAGAGGCTGCTGGGGCTGCTGGGGCAGGAGGGGGCAGGAGGGCAGAGGCTGGGAGATTTCCCCTGACCTCTCCTTCTGGGAGGAGAGTGGCAGGGAGCAAGGTCACTGCTGGGAAGTGGGGCAGAAGGTATAACTGGGCCAAGGAGTGGGGACAAGGCAGCGATGGAAACCAGAAGCCTCAGGGTGGGGGTGGGGGTTAAAGGCCAAGGTCAGGCCATGAAGGCCTGGCCAACACCTCAGGGAGCTTTAGACCCAGGCAGCCTGTCACCTGCTCTATCTCAGACTGGGGCTCCCTGCGGACAGGGCTGTGTCCCCTCAGACTGGGGCTCCCTGCGGACAGGGCTATGTCCCCCTCAGACTGGGGCTCCCTGAGGACAGGGCTGTGTCCCCCTCAGACTGGGGCTCCCTGTGTCCCCCTCAAACTAGGGCTCCCTGAGGACAGGGCCGTGTCCCCTAGACTGGGGACCCTGAGGACAGGGCTGTGTCCCCGTCAGACTGGGGCTCCCTGAGGACAGGGCTGTGTCCCTTCAGACTGGGGCTCCCTGAGGACAGGGCCGTGTCCCCCTCAGACTGGGGCTCCCTGAGGACAGGGCCGAGTCCCCTCAGACGGGGGCTCCCTGAGGACAGGGCTGTGTCCCTTCAGACTGGGGCTCCCTGAGGACAGGGCTGTGTCCCCCTCAGACTGGGGCTCCCTTAGAACAGGGCTGTGTCCCCTCAGGCTGGGGCTCCCTGAGGACAGGGGCTCCAGTTATAAGAGGAATAAGCCATGAGGATGTAATGAACAGCAGAGAGTATAATCAATAGTATTGTTACAACCACATACACTGACTTATTATGATGATCATGTCAGAAGATAAATAAATGTGGAATCTCTATATTGTGCAGCTGAAACTATATGATATCATATGTCAATTATAATTAAAAATAAGTCAAGTGCTATGAGAACATACACACACACACACACACAGAAATAAGAACAGGCCTGTGTCCACTCAGAAAGAGCTCTCTGACAACTGGGGTCTGCACCAGCTTGGGGTCTCCAGATACTGCTTACACCCCTCCTGTGGCCCCTCCAGGACTAAGTAACTGGGCCTCGGGCCTCTCCCCACCTGGGGTTACGGGAGCCTCACTGTGCCAGGCTCTGGGGGGTGATGTGGGGGATGGGCAGGCCTGGGGAAGACGAAGATGTAGGACCCAGCTCTGGCCTGAGGGGGTCCCAGGCCAGGGCTGTGCCCTTCACTTGTGGGTGGGGTGGGTCCTTGCTTTGCAGGACGGTCAGAGGGGGGAGGGAGGGGGACCTGCTCAGGCTGGGCCCGGCTCAGTACAGACTCCAGAACCCGGGAGACTGGGAGTTGGGGATGAAAGGAGGAGGGGGGGAAGCTTGGGCTAAGGGGGGGGGGGGGGTGGAGGGAGGGCTTTGCAGCAGAAGGGCCCAGCGGGGGACAGAGCAGGGGCACTGACACTCGGGAGCAGAGGAAAGCCTGGGCTGAGGTTCAGGAAGCTTACCTGGCCAGAACAGGACCTGGGCAGAGCTGAGGATCTGGCCGGGGCAGGGCTGGGGCCACCCGGACAGCCGGACCCAGGTGCTCAGGTGGATTCAGTAACACCGTGTAGGGAAAACAGCCCTGGCTATGTCCCCCTGTCTGGCTGTGGGCTCAAACCTAGGCCTGACATGGAATTAATTAACATCCCCCTCCCCCATTTTTTTGTGACCTTGTGCAGGAATTTCACTCCCAGCTTCAGTTTTCACATGTGCAAAATGGGAATAGCAACTGTCCCTCCCCACCCAGGCTTGCCGTGAGGAAGGAATAGGTGAGTTCATGCCGAGAGGGGTGCCTGGCAGGGAAATGCATGGTCCACAGCTCGGCCTCAGGGTTGCTGCTGTTTGTGGGAGAAGGAGCAGTGGAGCAAGCAGCCTGGCTTCCTGGGGAGTCTAGGCCCCACCCCTCCATCACTTTTAGGGTCAACACTCTCCCCAAAGCAGGAAACAAACATACTTTCACCCAAGGATCGCGCAGCCAAGAGAGGACGCGGGGAACTCCGTGTCCCAGGGCAGGAAACAGTGAGGAGGAGCGAGGCCCTGCCCACCAGCCCCAGCCCCACTGCATGCTCCCGTGGCATGAGGCCTCGCCCCAAGCCAGCGAGGTGGGGCTTGGGCTGCCGGCTGACAGGAGGGCTCAGTGGAGGGTGCCCTTGCCCCACACAGGGCAGCAGAGCTGGCCCAGAGTACAGGGCAGAGGGGAGGGGCCCGCAGGCCTGGGTTGGCAGTTTTTAAAATTGGGATTCGCCAGGCTTCCTGGGATCTCTCTGAGGGGGGTGAGGGCCAATGCGGGTGGAGGTTACAACAGGAGGGGGTGTCTCAGATTCAGGAGGTGAGAAAGAGGATGCCGGGTGGGAGTGGTGTGCGAGCACTGAACAGGGAGTCAGAGGACCAGGACCCCTGGCCTCTTGGTTTAGATCTCAGCTGTGACCGAAGGGGCATATTTACTCTTTTGGGGCCTCAGTTCCTTCGCCTAGAAAATGGGAAGATCATTCTCAGAGTTACTGCACAGACCCGGCGAGATAAGGCAGGTGAGCATCCTCAGGAGCGGACAGCCCTGTAGCGCGGGCAGTGTGAGGAGGAGGGGCGAGAGGAAGGGTGGAGAGGAGGGCCACTCTGAGCCTTGAGCCCAAGCCAATTGCTGCTAACCTGAAAATCCCTCCTGCCGCTTTATTCCTCCCAGTGAGTAAGGGCACTGGATTCTTCTTTTTCCTGGGCTCGGGTCTGAGTGAAGGGGAGGAGGAAAGAGACCTTGCCTTTCTGGGCCACTGAGGTGGAAAAATGGGAGAGGGCCCCCCAAAAGAAGAAAGAGGGCTCAGGAGACAGCCCTGATCCCCGGAGGCTCCTCCCAGGACCCCAAGGCCCTCAGCCACTTCCCAGGGCCCAACTCACTGGCCCCTGGTCCCTGGAGGGGTGGGGCTGTCGGCCCCGGCTCTTAGACACTCCTCCTTTCTGTTGTCTTAAGGGCTCAGATACACAGGGAAAGGAATGGTGCACACACGTTCTCACATGCACAACCTCACACGGATACCCTGGCCACACATTACCACCTACGTCAACGCATGCTTACTTCCCGAGAGATGACCCAGAGTCTCTCACATGCTGAGACACTGCCCACAAGATAAACACACACACACACACACACACACACACACACACACACACACATGTTCCTTGAATGACATATACTCAACTCACAGGGTCACACACATACATACAGAGACACAGCCACACATTCTGTGACAAGTGCTCTATCTCTCACCCACACCCGGACTCATCCTGGCAACCAGCCACACACTAAGATGTCATACACACACACACACACACACACACACACCTTCCAGACACAGTATCACATATGAGGTCACAAACACATATGCACTGTCAGACACAATCACATGCTGAGATGTTTCACACACAGTGACACACACACACAGGGCCGTGTACAAGCACACAGAGAAACAGGCCCATGCAGCCCTCACCCCCTGGTCTGTCTCAGTTTCTCTCTCCCTGTTTCTATGTCTCTGTATCTCTCTAACACACACACACACACACACACACACACACACACACACACACACAGAGGAGTCTGCACAGAGGCAGGTGGCAGTTAAGGCATCAGAGGGCAGGATGTATTTGCTGGTTGCTCCTGCCCCGGCAGCCACCTGGTCCATGTCAGGAGTGAGCCCCGCTCAGAACAACACCCACGCTGACCGCAGTGCGCCCTGGACTCCCTCCGCCTCCCCTGGGGTGCAGAGCCGGCCTCCACAGCCCCTCTCCCAGCCCTCCTCTGCTGCCTGGGGCAGGCTTGCAGACTCCCGAGGACAAAGGGGTCAGTCTGACCAGCGGCGGGAGCTGTCTCAGGTGTCTCCGTCCTCTCCATACCCTGTTTACAGATGCGGGAACTGAGGTCCGGGACCGCCAGGTGTCCTATCCGAGATCACCAGCCGATGGACTCAAAATGGGAACCAGGTTTGTCTGATTCTAATTTGTCCAAGGCCTCCCGTCCCCAGGAGAACAGCTCCATCCCAGGGGGCTTGGGAGGTCAGGAGCAGGATGGGTGGTCCTTGCCAGCAGCAATGGAGTGGCCTAGGCCCCCTTCTTCAGAGCTCACCCCCGACCCCGGGGCTCTCTCTGGGACCTTCCTTCTGTCCCACCGGGGCAGGCAGGTACTACGCACCAGCCCCGCACCCCTTTTGCTCCTCTCTGATCCTGAATCTTGGGGCCACCTTACACAGAGAACCTTCCTTTTCTGAGCTCTGCCCACCCACTGCCCCCCCCCCATCAGTGGCCTGGAGGGTGTAACTCTATTCTTGCCAACCTCCTGAACAGAAAATAGAATGAAAAATTTACATTTTTTTTAGAGTCTTATATGCGGGCATGAGGATGTGACAATTATTGCGGTCTAATCTCAAAGTCCCTGTCCAGGTAGCCAGGGATGCTCAGGGCCCCCAACAAGAGCGTGGCCGAGGCGGCATCGTCTCCGCTCAGAGCCTGGCTCACCCTGCCTTCTCTGTCCCCCAGCCCTGCCATAGCCCCCGGATATTGGGTTTAGCCTTTGGCCCAGGGCTGAGGAATGAGGGGATCAGAAGGAAGGGCAGGTTCAAGGAGCCTGTCTCCTCTGGGGAAAGGAAGGAACTTTGGGGAGAAGACAGGCAGCCTCCAGAACCTCTCCTCTTCCCTGAATCCAAACCAGTCCACACGCCCCCTGCAGCAGGATGGAGCCTGACCGCATCTTCCCCCAGGAGAGGAGGTGAAGGCGAGGGAGAGGCAGGTCCTGGGCCTGCCGTCCTGGCTCCCAGAAGATCCCAAGCGCACCAGAGAGGCCACGGCCTGGCTGAGGGGTTGGGGAGATGCTGTGTGTGGGGAGGGGGGAATGGAGGGGGGCGGGAGCAGGGGGGATACCTCCATGGCCAGAGGCAGTAGCTGGGCTGGGGGACAGGGACACAGAGGGCATCTGGAGAGGAACTTGGGGGCTGAAAATGGGCTGGCACCTTAGCTGGGAGGCACATCTGTCAATCTGGATCCTTAAGGGGTGGAGGAGGCCCCCACCAGGGCCATAGCCCCCCATCCTGCCTCCCACCTGTGCTGGGACCGGTCCAAGGCCTGTATGGGCGCACTGACTCCCGACAGCCCTGGGTCCCTCCGGTCTGGGGGTGGGAATGGGAGGCCACGGAAGAGGCAGTTGCGACACAGGACAGGCCACCCAAGCCTGTGCCTCCTCTCAGCTCAAGCTTCTCCCAGCGCCTTAGGACAACCCCCTATGCCAAACGCAGGCTGACCATAGCCTCCCACCCCCACCCCCACCCCCGAGTCTGCAGACCGGACAGGCAGGGAGGCAGGGGGGCCGTGGAGGGGGCCTCAGCGGTCCTCCCCGTGGCCTGCTCTCCGCTGGCGAGGAGGCCAAGGTGTCTGCTGGCTCAGGATGTGCTCTGGTGTGTGCTGTCCACCAGGGGGTCAGAAGGGGGCTCGGGCTGGTGAGGGGCCTGCAGCCTGGGGTGAAGGGGTGGGAGGGGGGGGGGAGGAGGAGAGCCTCCAGCCTGCTGCAGCAGGGGCCGGGGAGGGTGCGTGTGACAAATCCATCTGGGAGGTCACCAGGAAGGACGGGCGCCGCAGGGTCCCTGGGGCTATAAGTCAAAGGCTGCGCTGGGGGCCGGAGGTCCCCTCTCCTCCTCTCCATGCGCCCGCACCCGGCCCCCTCGGACCCAGAGCCTTCTCAGGGTCTCAGGGTCGTGGACCAGCCAGCGAGCAGCTGGGGGTGATGGTGGAGAAAGTGCCTGCCGGGTCGGGCGCAGCGGGCGGGGCCAGGCCGGGGCTTGGAGAAGAGGATGCCCGGGAGGGGGCGAGCCGGGCTGGGCCAGGGGCGGCCCGGGTCCGAGAGAAGGAGTTGGGAAAGTGTCTGGGAGACAGGGCGCCAAGTCAGAGATCCCGGTGGCGGGAGGCAGCTGGCGCCCCGCAGAGGGGCCGGGCGGCCGAGGACGGGCGCTGGCGGGGAGGGTGGCCCCGGTCCAGCCACCCGGTCCGCCCAGCCCGGGACCAGCCCTGCAGCCCCCGTTCCCCAACTCCCGCTGCTCCACCAGCGGGCGCGGAGTTTCTCCCAAGTCCCGCCGCCCCTGCCGGGCCCGCCCGCACCCCCCTCCCCGCGGGGCTCACCTGGGGGCGGGGGCCGGCCCTGCCCACCGCCCCGAGCAGCAGCAGCGCCAGGCGGAGCGGCCCGGGGGCGCCGGCCATGGCGGGCTCAGCACCGGGCCATCGCGGCCACCTGCGGCACCGCGACTGAGCCGGCGGCGGGCGGCGCGGGGAGGAGCCGGCGCGGGGCGCCCCGCCCGGGGAGGGGCCAGCGGGTCCCGGCCTTCCCCCTCCCGCGGCCGGCACCCCGCAGCCCTGCGCGCTCCGTCCGCCCGGGGCCAGGGGTGCTGGGCCCCGCGCCCCGAGCGCCACCCACGCGCCCCGACTTCCTCCCGGGGCCGCGGTAAGGAGCCAAAGCACCCCACCTCTCCGGCCCCCGGAGGAGACGGGACCTGCGGGGCGCGCGGGACTCGTCCAAGGTCACCCCGCCCGCAGACCCTCCCGGGAAGTGCGACCCCAACAGCTGCGAGTGACCAGGCGGACAGACCCACTCCGAGGGGGGCCTCCTTCCAAGGCGCCCCTCTCCCTGGTCTGCCCGGAAGGGCGCCCTGGGACGGCGGGGCTGGGGGGGGGGGCGTGGAGGAGAGGGCAGAAAGAAGGGCGGTGGGGCCCTGCTGCTCAGGAGGTTTGCCCCCCCTCCTGCAGCCCCCATGGCCCACTCTGAATCGGGAGGCTCTCAGACCTCAGTGTCCCGTGATAACGTGGGCCCATGGCTGCTCCCGGGGACCCCTGTGTCATCTCCCCGTATTTTACCCCACCACCACCTCCAAACAGTGCAGGCCAGGGGTGGGGGCGGATGGGAGCAAGGCCTGAGCAGGCTCTGATCCAGTTCCCTAATGCCCAGGAGAAGAGGGGCGGGAGAAGGGGACCCCCACCCCCACAACACACGCCGATGACCACCACCACCACCACCACCACCACCAGAACTGGGATGTCACCACTGAGGAGGGCGAGGGAGCAGCTCTCAGCCCTGGACCTGCCCTGGGACATGTCTGGAACATTCCAAAGGGAAAGCGGATCTGTTGGAGTAGCTCCTGGGGAGAGAACAGAACTCAAAGCCCAGAGGAGGCTGATCTAAGGGAGAGGGGGAGGGAAAGAGAGGGGGAGAGGAGGGGAGGGTTGGAGGAGGGATGGGGCAGGAGGGGAGGGGGAGGGAGGACAGAGAGGCTGGGGAGAGGAGGGGAGGGTTGGAGGAGGGATGAGGCAGGAGGGAGGACAGAGAGGCTGGGAGAGGAGGGGAGGGTTGGAGGAGGGACGGGGCAGGAGGGAACACAGACAGCCAGAGGGATCTCCTCTCTGCCTCCACTGCCCAGGAGTCCCTCCTCTTCCCTGCAGCCGGCCTAACAGTCACCTCTGGGTGTCACTTAGGGTGTTTGTTCAGTGACACAGGACAGAGGACCCCAAACAACAATGGTGATGAAGGGCTGTGTCCTAAAAGTGAGGCTGGAGTTCGGGGCAGGGCTGGAGCATGGCTGCAGAGCACCAGCCCGGCTCTCCTGGCCGCACCTCCTCCTGGTCCACAGCTCCACCTAATGCTCTGCCCAGGCCCCATGACATTCAAGCTCAGCCGCAGGCAGCAGGGAGAGGGCGCCCCTCCTCCCCCAGGGACACACCCTGAGAGCCCCAGTTGCCAGACCCAGCCATTGGCCTGGACTAAGACACCTGGCAGTGGAAGGGGCTGGGGAAAGTGCCTTTATTCCAGCAGTCACCGGCAAGGTTAAATCTTGGGGCTTTTATTACTCTAAAGCCATGGTTGGCAAACCAGCTCTCAAGCCACATGTGGCTCTCGAGCCGCGGTTTGGCGCTCTGTTGACTAATGAGTTTGCCGACCTCTGGGATAGGGACTTAATCACAAGGAACAACAACAGCCTGTAATTATTGGAATCAAGAGTCTAGGTAGGTGGGTGGATAGGTGGATGGATAGGTGGGTGAATAAGTGGGTGGATAGGTAAATGGATAGGTGGGTGGATAGGTGGATGGATAGGTGGATGGATAGGTGGATGGATAGGTGGGTGGATAGGTGGGTGGATAGGTGGATGGATAGGTGGGTGGATAGGTGGATGGATAGGTGGGTGGATAGGTGGGTGGGTAGGTGGGTGAATAGGTGGATGGATAGGTGGGTGGATAAGTGGGTGGATAGGTGGGTGGATAAGTGGGTGGATAGGTGGATGGATAGGTGGGTGGATAGGTGGGTGGGTAGGTGGGTGAATAGGTGGATGGATAGGTGAGTGGGTAGGTGAGTGGGTAGGTGGGTGAATAGGTGGATGGATAGGTAGGTGGATGGATAGATGGATGGATAGGTGGGTGGATAGGTGGATGGATAGGTGGGTGGGTAGGTGGGTGGGTAGGTGGGTGAATAGGTGGATGGATAGGTGGGTGGGTAGGTGGGTGAATAGGTGGGTGGATAGGTGGGTGGATAGGTGGATGAATAGGTGGGTGGATAGGTAGGTGGGTAGGTGGGTGGATAGGTGGGTGGATAGGTGGGTGGGTAGGTGGGTGAATAGCTGGATGGATAGGTAGGTGGATGGATAGGTGGGTGGATAGGTGGGTGGGTAGGTGGGTGGGTAGGTGGATAGACAGAGACAGATAGAGAGCTGGCTATTAAGAACAACTTACAGGCTCTGCTCTGCCAGGGTGGAGGCGAGGCGAGGACAAGACAAGATAGGAGGCTAGAAAAGTATTCAGACAGAGCTAGGTCTTCACTAAGAGCTTATCAACTTCCAAATTACATCAAATCCTGAGTGTCTACTGAACACTGAACCAGGCCCCACCCACCGCAAAGAGGAGACAGTCTGTCCTCGGAGCAGCTACCCTCATGCCGGCGGGGCCTCACGCAGTGACCTGGCACTATGCAGACTGCAGTCACAGCCTTGGCCAGCAGCGCTCTGAAGCCCCCTCCGCACTTGGAGGACCATCTGCCCTCGGCCAGGGCTTTCTCTGACGGGAGGAGAGCCCTGTGTTCCCCTCGGAGCGGCTCTCCAGCGCGAAGGGACAGGATGGATCGGTAAGTCCCCAGCTCCTCACCACGGGATCAGACAGCTCAGGTGGGTCCCAGGGTCTCCCAGACTCCCCGGCAGCGGAAGCTGCTCAGGAACGCACCCGCTCGTGGCTTCCTTCCCGCCTGTCTCACTTCTCACTTCCCACTTTCCAATGCCGTGCAGCGCTTCCTGGAGCCCCCTCCCACCCAAACAGAAATAACGCGCCTGCCTCCAGTCCTCCTTTCAGGGCTTGTTCCTGGGAGGGCCCCGCTGAAGACGGTGGGCATCTGAGGGCGCCCAGGGCTGGGGTGGCCTCTGAGCCCAGAGACACGGGGGCAGATTACTCAGCCTCCCCTTCAGCACTTGGGGTCCAAAGCCTCTACGTCTGCGATGCCGCCACCTCTGTCTGAGCGGGTGCCACCCGGGATTATCCCTGACTCCACATCAGTTAGGCTCTGAGCTGCCGCAGGCTGTTTCAGAACTGGCACAAGCCTGTACCCAGAAAGTGCCCAGTGCTTGCAGACCTTCTGGTTCTGTCTCGGGTATTCTGGGCAATGCAGGGGGGGTGGGGGTGGGGGCTATAAGGGGAACAGGCAGCGTGCCCTAGGGCTGCTGGAGAAGGTACATTGACTCCCCAGAGTGTAAGGTAAGGGAGCCTCAGAGTGGGCCAAGGTCTGACCCCTTTCTTCCACCATCTGCCTGCTCTCCCTCCCTCTCACCTGGTCTCCGGGAGGGAGGATCTGTGTACTAAAACCCTCCCCCACCCTCGTCCCTCCGCCTGTCCACTGACTCCCCCACCCAGGACCAATCCTCCAAACTCAGCAGCAGCAGAGGAGTCAGCCTGGCTCTGCCTGCAGCTCCCCTCCCAATTCCTTGCAGCGCGGCCCCTTCTTCATGCAGAGTCTTCACCCCCTACTCCTCCTCCCCCTGAGCTCCTACTCAGGCTTCTGGACCGGCTCAGGCAGCCCCTCTAAGAAACCTTGGAGAGCCGACAGGGGCTCTTGTCAGCCACAAGCACCCTGGAAGGCTCCCCCAAGCACGGTTCTCCTCCACCCTCAGAGCCTCAGCGGAGGGGTCACCCCTCCTGGGAGTGTCCCGTGATTCCTCCCCCTCCTCGGTTCCTCAGGGCCCGGGCCCTGTGCTTACTGCCGTCTGGGCACGTTGGAATCTCTTGAGTGTTTGCTGGCTAATTCCGTGGTTTCCCCGAATAGGGGTCTTGTTTTACTCATCTCTGTGCCCACAGCACCCAGGGCCATGCTTGGCACATGCGAGGTGCTTGGTGACTCCTGTTCAAAGCACCAAGTGGAATGAACCGAGGCACTTACCGTATCCTGTCGCCGTCCTAGACCCTGCGGTCTGGAGGGGAGATATTTCTGCTTTCACCCCTGGCCATCCGGCCTCAGCCCAGGCCTGGCACATAGCAGGTGCTCCATGACGTTTGTCCCAAGGGAAATGTGTCCATCCAGGACGGTCTGAATGTTCGTGGCCCCTAGTCCGCATGAGGGCAGAGCCCCTGTGAATGGGATTGGTGTCCAGGGACTCCCCGGCCCTCCCACCATCGAGGACAGGAAGAAGCAGAAAGTGGGCTCAGACCAGACAGCAAGCCTGCTGCGGCCATGATCTTTGCCTTCCCGCCTCCAGAACGGGGAGAAAGCGTGTATTGTTTGTAAGCCCCTCAGTCAGTGGATTTTGTTGTAGCAGCCGACATGGACTAAGACAAGCCTAGAAAGGAGGGCAGACACTCCCTAAGCAAAGACATTTGAACAGATAGAATAGCACTTCCTAAAGCAACAACAGCCATGCTCGAAAACATAGCGACCATTTCCCAAGCCCCACCCTGAGCGGGTGCTGCTGGGTGCTGTCTGTGCCCTGACCTCCCCCGGGGATGTGCCCATTGTATGGACGCGGAGACCAGAGCTCAGGGATGAAGAGCAGCTGCTCCCAGAGCAGCCCAGGCCCCTGCCCCCCAGGCTGTGGCAGCGCCTGGGTCCCCCTGGGCCTGTGGCAGTGCAGAGGGTGCGGCCTGTCTCGGGAGCACCTCCCCCTGCCTCCTCCGAGGCCCAGAGCCCGGGTCCTGCTCCTCACCCTCCAAAGTAGGCCCTTCTAGGTTTTCAGATTGGCTTC